AATAAGCAAACAGTCAGCCAGACAAAAACAATTCTAAAAATCACTTATTTTTGTTATACGTTGTTACATGAGTCCATAGACTTAAGGTCGGAGTCGTATAAAGCCTATAAATGCTGTAAATAGCTTAAAATAAGCTCAGCGAGCATCGTGCTTTATTTATTTGGAGCCTAAAACGCAACGATAACTTTCAACGTAGGGTATATTGTTTGAGTAAGTTGAATAACCGAAATTGGTTCCACGTATACTTGGGAACCACTAAAAATAATATTGAATTCTCTGGTACCGCCTTCAAGCGACTTTAATCCCAATACCAATATGAATACGAACGTAATTTACTTGTGCTGGGTATTAAAAAAAAAATTGATTTAAGTTTTATTATGGTTGGTACATATTTAATGCAATCCATTACTTGTTCCAATTCAGGGTATTCCTAGTGGGACGTAATTATCGAAAAAAAACGAAATGTGTGCAATTCACACGTGGTAGAAGTGAAACCTTCCAAAATTAAAATACAATTATCCTAAACGTCTTAAGTATATGTAAAATTTTGTCATTAGTAAATAATTGTAAGGTAGCGCCCTCTGTGAATTGATATTTTAATTTCACGTATAATCCTAAATTAAAATTCACTACAAGAGCTTTCATACACACGTTAGTATTAAAAAATCNTAAAATACAATTATCCTAAACGTCTTAAGTATATGTAAAATTTTGTCATTAGTAAATAATTGTAAGGTAGCGCCCTCTGTGAATTGATATTTTAATTTCACGTATAATCCTAAATTAAAATTCACTACAAGAGCTTTCATACACACGTTAGTATTAAAAAATCTCACAGATGGCGCTGTATTAAATAGCATGTATATTTCTGTCTCATTCTTTGCTGGCTTCATCCTACACATTTTTGTATTTGTGTCTCTTACCTGTCGTTTTTTCCGTTGCATCCGGTTTGAAATCACAACGATTCTAAAGAAGTTTTCACTTCAAAAATCAAGCGATTCTCTATTCTATACAAACTGGGCGATGTGCGTTATTCCCTTGCAATAGAACTCCCCTGAACTGCTAGCGATTCAACAGGGGCAAGCCATCACATTCGTTCTCATTATCAACGTCGTGTTTTAACAACACGAAAGGAAAATTGAAAGTTATTATTTGTATTGAATCGGCCGGTCTCGACCAGATATGGTTCCGTTACAATTTCATTTGCATTTATAAAGGAAAACGTGAGGTCCCGTAGACGCTCCCGGCTCCGAGCCTGTCTTTGCCAAGCGATTTTATGACGTTTCTCGTGCGACGAAGTGCGCGAATCGTCCGTGCAGACTGGTGTATTTGCAGTTCGATCGAGTAATGTAAAATTGATCATGCTCCGCTATTTCTTTCCATTTTTCAAACATGCTATTGGTTTTTGTAAGTTTTTTATTGCTTAGACGGGCGAACGAGCACGCAGACCACCTGCTGTAAAGCGGTAACCGAACTCCATAGACATTAATAACGTAAATGTCGACATGCACCGTGAGACATGCGTTTTACGTCTCCGTTTTATAGTACAACGGCTGTCCCGCACTTCGCAGCGGATCGCATTACTGCTTCGCAGCAGAAATACGGCAGGGTGTGGTGGTACCTACCCGTGCGGACTCACACTGCCACCATTAAAATTTCCAAGTAGGTAATGTTACTCACATATTTATTTCTATGTGGTAAATCCAATTTTATATACACAAGGACGAATTGAACTATTATGTTCGGTCTGTGTGTGTGTGCCCGTGGCGGGATTACATTTCATACATTACATTCATTACTGGTGGTAGGACCTCTTGTGAGACCATGCGGGTAGGTACCAACACCCTGCCTATTTCTGCCGTGAAGCAGTAATGCGTTTCGGTTTGAAAGGTTGGGCAGCCGTTGTAATTATACCTGAGACCTTAGAACTTATATATCAAAGTGGGTGGCGCATTTACGTTGTATATGTGAATGGGCTCCAGTAACCACTTGACACCAGGTGGGCTGTGAGCTCGTCCACCCAACTGAGATAAAAGAAATAACACTAGGTGGGCCGCGAACTTTGTGATAGTGGCATATGGTAGTTCCAATTTTATATTCACAAAGATGAATTAAACTATTATGTTCGGTCTGTGTGTGTGTGTGTGTGCCCGTGGTGTGGTTACAGAAGATTCACTTCACGTTAAAATTCGGTCACGCTTCGATCGTACGGTATCCGTAACGTTGGAATTATTTATTCAGAAGCGGTAAGACACCCGGTGTTTTTGTATCCAGTAGCGAGACTACACCTAGCACAAAACCCTCCGAGTTTCCAAATTAAAATGAAACCAGCCGAACTTACCGCCGGTATGCTGTTACGCATATTATTGAAGTGAAAACTTCTTTAGAATCGTTGTGATTTCAAACCGGATGCAACGGAAAAAACGACAGGTAAGAGACACAAATACAAAAATGTGTAGGATGAAACCAGCAAAGAATGAGACAGAAATATACATACTATTTAATACAGCGCCATCTGTGAGATTTTTTAATACTAACGTGTGTATGAAAGCTCTTGTAGTGAATTTTAATTTNTAATACTAACGTGTGTATGAAAGCTCTTGTAGTGAATTTTAATTTAGGATTATACGTGAAATTAAAATATCAATTCACAGAGGGCGCTACCTTACAATTATTTACTAATGACAAAATTTTACATATACTTAAGACGTTTAGGATAATTGTATTTTAATTTTGGAAGGTTTCACTTCTACCACGTGTGAATTGCACACATTCGGTTTTTATTTTTTTATAACTTTTTTTTTTATTGCTTAGATTGGTGGACGAGCTGACAGCCCACCTGGTGTTAAGTGGTTACTGGAGCCTATAGACATCCACAACGTAAATGCGCCACCCACCCTGAGATACAAGTTCTAAGGTCTCAAGTATAGTTACAACGGCTGCCCCACCCTTCAAACCGAAACGCATTACTGCTTCACGGCAGAAATAGGCAGTGTGGTGGTTTATTATAAGTGAGTCGTAAATGTGTTTGAAGGGCGGTACAGTCGTTGGTAATTACGATAGAAATTTCTCCATCATGACTTAAGGTAGGTGAATGTTCTCAAAGTTTATAACGTCTATGAGCTCCTGTTGAAGCTTGGGAGTATACGATATAGAGAATACCTTCCACTGAGCGGCTAAAATTGCTAAACAGACTGACAGTCCGTTTGCTGTTGTTCGGAACTTGTATACATGCAAGCTTATCTTATCTGTCATCTGTCTGTCTGTTATCTGTCAAAAATCTTATGTTGTCTTTTGTTGATCTGTAAATGGATGGTTGAATTTATTTGTAATTAGACCATGGATAGTGTAAGTACTTTAATTCGAACGGCTGCTTGAGCGTTGTGCTGATTCTTGATCTGCCGCGAGTTTATTAGGTACCTTTTTTTTTTTTGGTCAGAAGGAAATCGCCGGTCTTCCGCCTTCCTCTGGGGATGGAGAGCGGGACATGTCGGAGTCGAACTGACTAAAACCTCCTGTCACTCAACAACCCGCGTCCGAACCTCGTATGAGGCAGAACTCATGAAAAGGCAAAGGGGGGAAAGTGAAGCGTTTAGTGCGGAGCACATCTCTCCCATCACCCTCCCCCTCGGGACGCCGGACCGGCGGTCGTCAGCGCCACGACCACCAGCTCTCTCGGTTTATTAGAGGTACCCACGTTAGCCTATTTTAAATCCAGAATTTGGTCTTTAAATATCTCAACGGTAATACTCGTAAAAGGCACTGCGATGGTAATTTTTTGAATGGCCTTATTAAGCAGACGAACACCCACCTGATTGTAAGTGAGTACAGTCGCCCACGGACGTCAGCAATGCCAGTGGCAAAGCTAAGTCGCTGCCTGCCATTGAATACTCTCAGTAAGCCTTGTTTCAAGGAGGCATGTCATAGCGCGCGGGAAACATCGAATAATGCTTGAAGTATGCTAAGTACTGTTGTCTATATATAGGTCGAATGGCTTGATGAGTTGTCTGTCCGTCTAGAACGCTTAAGCTGACCTCAGCTGATCAGCTTGTGAGTCTGAGCCGGCTTACAGGCGTGAGTTCTTTTCTTCAAGTTGCTGATTTAACAATTCATTTGTAACTCTGCTATCGAACGAACGAATGTGTGGGAATAAAGTAAAATCTTTCAAGAAAAGCAATTATACGCGGTCGTCCGTGTAGCGGGACTATCGCGCGGTAAGCCCGCGGTTAGGAGACAGGTGTACCGTCCGACACTAATGAAAATCAGCTCTGTAATACCGCAGGGGACAGTTTGCTGCAGTGAAGGATTCAGGAGTGTAAAAACATTAAAGCATATTTTAATTTAGGTTTCGCGGTGCCACGGGCAGTGCTTTGAGGTTTTGTTTGAGTCGTCTCCGTGATTTTTTTTTTGGCCTAAAGGGTTTATTCTAAGTACGCGCGGACCGGTAGATGAGCTCACAGGCTCAATTTGAGAGAATTTGCTAACAATAACCCTAGCAAGAGGAGTGCTTTGCAAAGTTTACCATTGGATCGGAATCGCGACCCACTGAGAAGATCAGACGAGAAACTCAGTGGGCTGTGTCTATGGGTTAATTCGGTTGTCGAACTCTTAGTCGGTGTGTATTATAAATGAAATGTAGTCGTAATTCGTTTTGGGTACTATTATTATAATTTGAAATTATTGTGTGTATTTGTAGGTACAGTTTTAATAGCTATTGTGGTTCCTTATATACATCGTAGTTTTATATACACTTATATATATACACCACACTTTTACTAAGCGATAAATTAAAATAACTAGCTTCTTTTTTTCTGGATCGAATTTCCTTATGGCACGATGCGGAGGGGTACCTAACCGGGAAAAAACGTCCGTAACGTAATATTTTTTCTATTTAGTTTCTTATCAACAGATGTCGCTACACGTTAATTCAACAATTCCTGACTCGCGGTGACGAGATGTTACACAGTTGATAGACGTTCTCGTATTTCTCTTGCTAAGTCATACTTATCTAGCGTAGGGGATACCGTGAACATGTAGGCGGTTCCCCAGCTCAAGGCTCCTCCATTGCACTGCGGAGTGGTTGACCACTGCAATTATTTTTATTTTTATCAAAAAAAAAATCATGATAGAAAATGTATACCCGAACAAATATTTTATTTATACCTCGAATAGAACTTAAAATTAATATTTTTATAACAAGGAATTTCGTTCCTATCCGGTGTCCCATGACACCGCACAATGCCACACATATTTTCGGCAATTTCTTGAACACGCGTTCTAACTTCTGTCTGCAAAAGAGTTCCTAACACCGGCCCTGCACAGAACCCTCTTCAGAAAGCGACACATATTACTTCTCTATGTCATTCTTCGCTAGTAACAGGACATTACAAGTAAAATCTTTTGAAAGAAATAAAAAAAAAGTTAGAATGTTTATCATAGGATCATGTGGTCGACAGATCGCGTGAATTTTCACCGACGCTAAAAAATTAGGAGATTCTCGATTCGATTGTTTTTATGTGTGTTATCTCAGACCTTTATTCTCGGTAAACCGATTTTCGTCATTCATTCTAATTCAAAAACTAGTGCTCATGTTATGCCATTTTATTAATTTTATCAAGATCTGACCGGTGATTTTTTAATTATCCTGAATTATCATGCATATGTAAGTGACTTGGTTAGCGATGACTACATTGATGATGTGGTTTTCATTATGGCAAAATTTTGTTATTAGTTTTTACATTATATAAACGACACCAATGATTTTTTAAACAAAAGATATGACGTTATCTTCATAGTAACTGACTCTTCAAATCTGATCGCGCCATATATATCTACATACCTACCGATATAGTGCACACACATGTTGACAAGTAGCATTAATGAAAAGTACAAAAGATGGGATAATCGCGTGAGTAAAAAAGATAGCTATAATTGGAACGATTGCACTTGTTGTATTGTTATTGCATTTGTTTAGACGCGACTAAAGACGAAACGTCCCAATTGGTCTGTTTTCAAGTCTTCACTTGACGTGCGCTTGAAACATATGTGATTCTTTTTACATATAAAATATCATTGAACGACACTGTCTAAAAAAAATTATACTTGCAGTTTTGTCGGCGTGAATGCATTGTGTGAAATGCATGACATTACAGAACTAAACACTTCGAAATTATCTCTTAAAGTCTATATTCATGTTGTGCAGTTTCGGTATCTGCATACGATATTGTGGTCTGTTTGTTTTCTTAGCGAAGACCATAGCGTAGCAGAGGTTAGGTAGTAACGTAGGAGAGGTAGCGTAGGAGAGAGGCAGAAAGAAATGAAATTGACAAGGATATTTTTTTCCACTAATATACTACTTTATGTATTAAAATTTATTCAGTAATATTTTGATTATGGTTGAAAATTACAGTTCATAATTCATAAAACATAACAGTACACAGTATTGTTAATGTAGAATTGGAAGGAAGTCTAAGGACTTAAGTTTTTTTTCTTTTTTTTCCTTAGATCGGAGGACGAGCTCACAGCCCACCTGGTGTAAGTGGATACTGGAGCCCGTAGACATCTACAACGTAAATGCGCCACCCACCTTGAGATATAAGTTCTAAGATCTCAATATGGTTACAACGGCTGCCCTACCCTTCAAACCGAAACGCATTACTGCTTCAAGGCAGAAATAGGTAGGGCAGTGGTAACTACCCGTGCGGACTAACAAGAGCTCCTACTACCAGTTTGAAGCTCCTAGCACCAGTTTAGACGTCATATCACCAGTCTATTAAGCTTCAAATCATAATATATTATAGACAAAGTTACAATGTGATTGTCGCGGTTTTCGTTAAGTTCAGTTCACTATCAATTTAATACTTTTTTGGAGTTTACTCCTTTAGAATCGATTTACATATATAGGCCCGGGGTATGAAAATTATGGGGACCAAAATCGTACTAGCATGTCACACGAAATGCGTTATGCGCCTGATTGGCTCCTGATTGCGTGATGCGTGCGCGCGCCAATCAAAATCGTACTAGCATGTCACACGAAATGCGTTATGCGCCTGATTGGCTCCTGATTGCGTGATGCGTGCGCGCGCCAATCAGGAGCCAACGCGCGGCCGCGTTATCGCAGGTGACGCCGGGCTGCTGCGCCGGCAGTCCGCCACAAAGCCTCGGCGCGTTTCTCTCATTATTGTATTTTTGTATTTTCATATATTTGTTAGTCGTTTGTTTTGTGTCTCGTTAATTTGTTAATAATCTGTAGTGTATCGTGTTGTCGTAATATAGAACTATTTCTCGTATTGTTTCGTTTAATTTTTTATATCCAGTAAACTCCAGTCGTGCGTCGGAGCGGACACACACACTTTTTTTTCTAATTCGTCCTATTAATCAATCGATATTTCGCTTTTGAATCACGGACCGCGAATGGACTCCTCTCGAACTTCACAGGCTTGTAGTCTTGGGGCACCAACGTGTACTTCCGCAGTAGCCACGCAAGACCTGCTCTCAGTTGGAGACGTGCAAATTTAGCACCTGGAATCAAGAAGTTTGTTTGTGGATCAAGGTCGCTATGGATTATTTTTATAGAAAAATATATTCACCTTTTGGCTATTAAACAAAATAAAAATGAAATTTGTTCCGTATGCTCCTTGGGGAGTGCTCTTGGGAATTGTTTGAGATGATCCCATCATCTCGTTTTTACTATCGCACCGCCCGACGCCGGAGTAGAGTTCATCCATACTACGTGGAGCCACTGCGTTCATCCACAGTACGTTCCCAAAGTTCTTTTCTGCCACGTACCAACTGGCTTTGGAATGAACTCCCCTCCAGCTGTTTCCCGAGCGCTATGACATGTCCTTTAAACGATGCTTGTGGTGCATACTTAACGGTAGGCAGCGGCTTGGCTCTGCCCCTGGCATTGCTGAAGGTCATGGGCGATGGTAACCACTCACCATCAGGTAGGCCGTATGCTCGCCTGCCTACAGGGATAATAGAAAAAAGTTCAGTATCTAAAAAAAAGATAAATTTTAATGGCAAGTCGAAATGAAAATGAGTTGTCTTGTGACTCTGGTAAAAATATTAGAAAAAAATAGTTAATACAATTATTGCATTGTCATTGGTCCTCGTCTCAGTGCAAGTCTTAAATCTTGAATCGTAATCGTATTATGTGCGCACAGTTCGTTGAATGGCTTGGGGCTTGTAGTTGTGATGTGATAATCTTTGAACTATATAATCTCAAAGTAAGCTTGTGTACAAAGATTCAATAACATTCATAATACAGCACAATAAGAGTATCCAGTTTTGGCTTTTATATATTTCATAGGATGTGGCATTGGTTGCAATTACGGCCCAATTAGAGAAAATACCTTTTTTTTGGGATGGAGGGATGGGTGAGCTGCTGGTTGGTAGGTCGTTCTAGGTCCACCAAAGTGGGTGGACGGGCTTGGGCTTAATTAAGCGAGGGAGTATCAGCTATCAACTGCTTAAGGACCATCGAAGTCCTAATAGCTCGGCAGCAGCTTTGCGAGTGAATCTAACGCTGGAACGGGATCCGCTGAGAAGATCCGGCGAGAAACTCAGCGTGATCACGTCATCGTGTCAACTATCGCACTACGCTCTAACACAGAACCTATGTATTGTAACGCGAAAACGGAAGGCTAAGCATATAAACACGTTTGTTAGATTTTAAGTGCTAGTGACTCGGATTCGGATTACGTAGATTGAATTAGGAAAATCTATATATTAATACGTGAAGCAAAAACTTCGTATCCCTTTTTACGAAAATTGCGCGGACGGAGGAGTATGAAATTTTCCACACTTATAGAGAATATAGAGAAGAAGTGCACAATGCTAATATTTTATTTAGATAATGCATAAAAGACATATTAAATTAATAAAGAAAACATTACACACACTACATACCATGTATTTGACGCACACACGCAAGCATACTATTTATTGTCAAACTTTTCTTCTTGACGTCTGTTGTCAAATAGAGAATATTGTTTGTCTTTGTTAATATTTTTTATAGTGTAGTCTTGGCGAAATTTGTGATTATAGCAATATAAAATACAATCATAATAATATACAAACTTACAATTCCAATTAATTATAGTCGAATTTCGACTACTGCGGGACCTCTAGTACTGTATTAATATTTTTATTCGTCAATTAATTTACTATTCGTCTGATATACGTGTGAACAATTCCAACGAAAACAAAAATCGAGGTCTCAAGTCGCGGAATGATTTGTAATCGAAAAATTACAAATACAAAGATGGGCTTTTGCTCGAAACATAAGATTTGGCTGACGCATTAAGCTGACCCCAAATTTTATACATAGCTCTATTACTTTACCTTGAAGATATATGTGTAACTTACCAATGCAAACCCTGTTTCCTTCGCCGAAAGGCAAAAATGAAAATTTATTGATTTCATTAAAATTTTCCGGTGCAAACCTCTGAGGATCAAACGCATCTGACTTTGGATAAAATCTTTCATCCCTATGTAACGCCAATACGGGCACAACTGCTATTGTATCCTTACTTATCCTCAGATTATTACTGGGAAGATTTGTCTCTTTGGTACAAATTCTTTGTAACAAACCTATCGGTGGATACTTCCTCATTGTTTCGTTTACTACCATTTCTAAATATTTGAATTTGTCCATATCTTCAAAATTTAGCGATTTCTTTTCGTCTTGGAACACTTCATCGATTTCTGCATGAAGCTTCTTCAAGACGCTAGGATTAGACGAAAGTTCCAGAAGAGTAAAATGCATAACGTTTGCAGTGGTATCGGCTCCAGCAACAAAGAAGAAGAATGCTTGAGCAGCTAACAATTCATCAGTCGGTACGATTTCGTAGCCTGTAACAAGATCTCTCAAAACTTCATGATTTTGGAGTTCTAAGCAAACGTCAATGAAATCATATTGTTTCTCTCCCGCGCGTCGATTCTCTAGTACTTTTTTTACTGCATCGATGAAACTTGTCTCGTAGTTATCGAAGTTCATCATATCCAACCATTTGATTAGTCTCGGGAATGTGCCGGCTAAAAAAAACGTCATGATTGACTTAAGAGTCGGTTCGAGAGCTTTTCGAGTTATATTAAGCACCGGTGTGTCTAGCGTGTTTTGGTCTACGTCAACACCAAATACTGCGGCTCCAATAGACC